GTGAACCACTATAAAAATTCCTTGTGTCATTTGTCCATGTATGATCTAGTTAACACACAAACACACATGTTCAACAAATCCACACACGTTTAATACACCCACGGCCGGTAATCCGAAGGAAAACTAAGAGGTAACCCGGCCGATTTTTTGTTGGCGAAGACCGTCAACAATATATTTGGTTGAAGGTCAATTTGGAGCCAAATTACTCGATCTTTCACCGATAAAAGTAGGGGAGATATGTTTGCACTTTTCACCACCTGATGTAGGTACGTCCAGTCTCTTTCTCTTTATTTGGTGCTTCAAAATCACCATATCTCCAACTTGCTCTTACACAAATATTCTAACTTTAGCAACTAATATAACCCTGCCTTTCAAATACGTACGAACTCAACAAGCATCTTGGAGAACATTTTAAAGCGGTCATCGAAATCAAATTTACATAAATATAGGCTATGCAAGTACAAGAACCCACGTGCTTCTTTTGTTACTAGTTTTGTAAGATTTACACTTTAATTAAGCTGCTCTTCACTTACACACACACATGTGTGTGTGTATGTCTATCTATATATATGTGTGTGTGTGTGTAAATATCTTTAAAGCAATTAAAAGCTAGGGTTAATTTCATCCCACACACACACATGTGTGTGTGTATGTCTATCTATATATATGTGTGTGCGTGTGTGTAAATATCTTTAAAGCAATTAAAAGCTAGGGTTAATTTCATCCGTCATGTGAGAAAACGTGTGTGTGGTGCATGGCAGAATACAGTTGAAAAAGGCAAAGACAAGACATAGTGCTACCTATTGTCTTGTGATCTTCCTCAATCCTCATGGGTGTACCTTCCTCACTTACAATTTTTAGTTTTCTTACTTTCCCATAAGATCTCTGCCTTCGCAATGAAGGCTATATATATATATATAATTAACTAATTCCTAATCGATCATAGGTAATTAACTAATTCTCTAATGTATATTTCATGATGAAACCTTCTGCACACACACACAACTGTTGATAAACAGCTGCATGCGTATCAGATAATGAGCAAATATTAGCTTCTAGTATTACTAGTACTTAATAACCTTATTAACGGCCGCCAATGTTGCAATTTTACCAGCTAGGTTAAGATATTGTTATTTTTTTAAAAGAAAAAAAATCTGATTTAGGGTTGCATATGGGGTTATCTAGCTAACTTTATTTTTTCTATTAGTCCTTTTAAAACTATATAATATATATAGTATGAAGAAGTGGCGCATGAAAGGCTGAATGACATTTACAACTATGTAAGCTTTTGATAATAACCTAAGTACTCCAGCTGGATGCAATAAACTTTCAATTAATGATGGAAGCGTCAAAGTAATATTCGACGTCAAATTATAAAGTAAAGAATATTTTAAAATATATCAGAGTTATCGACTTTTTTTTTTTCAATTATTATAATACGTCTATATGCATATGCTCATATATATTGGAGGGAATGCTAGTAAGGGGATCCAAAGGCAGAATCATAGTCCAATTTCAAAAAGAGAAATACTCATTTTGTCACTTTTTTGCTAGTTTTTTATTTATTGTTTGACACATAGACGTCATTAATATAATATATTATTATTTAAATAAAAAATAAAATAATGGAATCTATGTGTTAAACAGTAAACGTCGAGTGATAAAAAAAGTGATAGAAAAAGTGATTCTAGTGTTTCTCTTTCAAAAGCGTTGCTGAAGGTTCATAGACCTCTCTTTAATTAATTACTTCCGATCTTATGACAATTTAAAGCAATCATCGAAAAGAATATCCTCAATTTAAAGTCGCGTGCCAAACAAATTTAGCTTCTCTATTTGTTCTCATGCATATTTGTATTATATAAGAAATATAGACATGCGAATATCAAAGGCTCTCCAGAAGCTAACAAAAGAATCCTAACTTTTGAAACCAAAATCTTAACATCTGTCTGCAATATAATGCAATTTGCAAAAATTGCTTTATTAATGTCCTAGAAGCTTCTCGTTCTGCCATGGCTAGTATAGGGCCGGTCATATGTTAAATTATACTATCCACTAAACAAATGTATTAACTCTTCCCTAAGAAAATGACAATATGTAACCCTAGCTAATTTAAATTGCCTAGGGTTCTTAGAATAATTTATATTGAAAACGTGAAAATAAAGTTCACTTTTTTTTTTTCCCCAAAAGTATACAACGGCCGGTTCATAACTCTATTGCCACTATATATAGCTAGACTACAGGCAATTATAAGCACTCTATGTTACAAGTTGAGAAGAAGAAACGTAAACATTTATTTCAGTCCTTTCCAATTAATATATATTGTTGTAGGACCCTTCTAAAGGGGCAGGAGCCGCAAGACGGTGGTTAAAAGGTTCCAAGTTCGATGGATGGACCAGCCGAAAAGCAAATTGTAATTTGTAGGCGGATGTCTAGCGCTTGTGGTGTTGGTGGAGCCACTTGAAAGGCCAAAATATGGCTGCTTCCTAATCTGTATACAAATATATGATTTTATGGGGAAAGTATATAAATATGATTTTGAAAACATCAACGAGGTGGGAAAAAAAAAAAAACATTCTATATATCAATATTCAATTCACCTCCTCTCTCTTCTTCAACAGGGCTTTTTTTTTTTTTGAACCTCTGGAAATATCATTAGAGCAAGGGAAATATATATATATATATATATATATATTTGCAATACCACATAAAAAGCGTGGAGAAAAAAAAAAAAGGCATAAAAGGCAGGTGTTTGCCTTCATTTTGGAGGGAACTGGGAAGTGTTTAGTGGCCTTTGAATATTTTATCTTTTGAAGGGGACGTTTGGTTATTTTATGCATGTAATATTTGTAGGTGTGGGTTTAGGCGACTTAGGCAACTTAAGTGCCGCTACCATATATTATTGAGAAAAAAAAAAAATGTACCTCTTAACTGACCACTTTAGTTTTATGTCCTCTAATATAATTCTGCACTCTGAGTTTATATATAAAGAGAGAAAATTAGGTCAGAAAACTTATGTAATAATGTTTGAGAAATGCCATAAATCTTTAGCATTTTTACTCGAGTTGACTGTGATTATGGGCCATCATTTTAAGTCCAACAACTAACAACTTGGGCTTGCACTTATAAAGGCTTTGGGCCTACAATTCAATGCCTAAAAATTGATTGGTTCATGTGCGCATAACCGATACATTTATGCGCGTGAATTTCTTTCTTTCTAATAATTAAGGGCTTGTTTTTTTTGCGTGAAAAACTCAAAAAAATATAACTCGAGTTATAATTTTATTTGAGTTCATATTTTTTTAAGTTTAAACTCGAGTTTAAACTCAAGTTTATGGCTAAAATTCGAGTTTAAGTTTCTCCTTCAACTCGAGTTCAGAAACTCGAACTCAAATTAATGAATAGTATTTTTTCTGTTCTTAAAAATGTTATAACTTTTTCGTTTTAATTTTGATTGAGATGATTTTTTTTTCTATACGTTGACAACGAAAAGAGGAATAAAACCCGACCCATATACCATATTAAAATTTTTCATCAGCATTGAGTTTTTATTAAAATACTATCTAAATACAAATTCAAGTTTTGACTCACTCAAACACAAACTCAAAAAGATTCTTATCTCAAACCATAACTCAAATGTACACAACCAAACACAAACTCAAGTTACAAGTTCAACTCAAGTTATAACTCAAATTCAACTCAAGAATTATACTCAAGTTAAACTCTAAAAGAACAAGCCCTAAGTCTATACCGATTCTAATACAGTTGCAAATGATTACTAAATACGAGTTAAGCATGTTAATCCTAAACCTACTTATTATAGGATTTTACATATCAATCCGAAAGTAACATAAAAATTAAACGAAAACGCATTTATTCGTTTTGCTGTCCTGATTAAAAAAAAAAATTCAAATTTTCTCTTAACTTAATCTTATTATCCAAAGAGGATCTTTTTGAAGACCAATTTCTGGAAGTATAGTGTTATCAGTTGGGTAAAAGGCAATTATAAGTGAATCCGAATTAGAGGTGAAATTTTAGGCCGCATAGTCTAGTGCGAAGTCAAATGAAAATTTTAAACCAGGCACGACCGACCCAGAATTTTATAACAATTTTATTTTAAAAAGTGTGTTTGGGCCTGACCGGGCCGTGTAAGCTTTCGGGCTCAGGCCCAAAGGTTCATGACGCAACCATGCCAACAATGACAATCCTCCATCTGACTCGTTTGACCATGCCTAAACTTATAACTCTATTCTGAATCGAACTACACATTTATCACGGGAAAAATGAGAAATATTCCCTTAAAGTGTATGAGTATAGATTTTTTACCCTATAATTTTGATTAATATTCTTTTAGTCAAATAATTATATTAATCAACAAAGGTATTAAATTAAGAGTACAGAATAAAGATCAAGACCCATATACTCTTTTAAGTTAATTCTCTCTTCATCAAATATACTAGCTAACTTTCAACAAGCAAAAATCTAATATCACCAATCACAACTTCCTACGGAGAAGAGAGGGCAAAGAGTTGATAGCCTTCATCACCTTAAGAGCATCAACCTCCACCAAATTAACTTGACTTGAAAGCCCGCGTCCCAGACTGTAGCCGGAGAACTCCGAAGAACAAGGCATTCTGGCAGGAAGGAAGGAGCGTGACCCATCCAACTCTTAGCCATACCTCAAATCACCATACAAGACCAGTCCCCAAGCACAGCTCCGAACCCCACTTTATTAATCCCAGACTTGCGACTAAATGGAAGCAACTAGAGCTCTCGTTACAAAAGGCCTGTACATAAAAGTAGAATAGCCAAAACAAACATGGATTCTCCATGTGTCAACAATTTATCAAAACACAGACAGATGAGTTTGGAAAGATCTTGTTAGAGCAAGTATGTTATAGCAATTGGAGGACAGATAAAGAGTAATGAAGGTATTTGTTCCCATCACACAGAGACAATAACCTTGATGCAGACACCAAAACAAGTAAACTTTCAATGCTTCGTAACAGAAATTCCATCGCATAAAATTTCGTGAACATAATATTGGTATCGTCATAGTCTTAATTTACAAAACAGACATGTTCCCGCATCCATACAACAGAATCCCTATATACAACTTGGAAAGGAGAACTACCATGAAGGCTCAGGCTCATTAAAAATATTTAAAAAAAAAAAGAAAAGGAGGGGCTATTTTATGAACATACAGCATAGCCCACTTTGGCTTTCGCCTTCAAGTTCAACAAAGAGGGGAAAAAAACTACAACTAAAAAGTAAACAAGCTACTTTCAGTTTCAAAGCAGAATCTCCTTCCAAAGCCTCTCCACGACCCTATAAACCAGAAATTAAGAACACACCTCGCCGTTAGTAGTCGCAGCTTCAGGATGGTGATGGAGCACTTCCGACCACATCATCTCCCTGATCATTTCTTCCCCTAAATCCTCATCTATGTCGAGATCAACAGGCACTTGGGCTGGAGGGTTACAACTGGGATCGTACAGTGGGGACATGTAAGGGTGCTGAAGCGCTTCACTAACACTGATCCTCTTTGACGGGTCAAAAACAAGCATCTTTTGCAGAAGATCAATTGCCAAAGGATGGGCATTGGGGTAAAGGTGGGAAAAGGTTGTCCCGGAGGAGTATGGGACTGACTTTAAGAATTTCTTGGCTTTTGGATTGTCTATAAATTCAAGATCCTCTTCCCTCTGACTTCCAAGTACGTTGATTATTAGTTTCAACTGGTTGAGACACTCAGAACCGGGGAAGATAGGTTTCCGGCCTAGAAGCTCAGCAAAGATGCATCCAACTGACCACACATCAATGGATGTTCCGTAATTGTCACAGCAGAGAAGGAGCTCAGGGGCTCGGTACCAGCGAGTGACAACATACTCAGTCATGAAGTACCCCTTTGCATTGCTAGTACGTGCGAGACCAAAATCACATATTTTTAAGTCACAGTTTGCATTGATGAGAAGGTTGCCAGGCTTCAAGTCACGATGGAGGATGTTTGCAGAATGAAGATACTGAAGTCCTCGAAGCAACTGCATCAGAAATTTTGATTAGTGCCAAGTGAAAAAAGGATCTCCACAAACTTATTATTTCATCTAACATAGAAATATTTTGCATCTTTTCCTTTAAAGAAAAAAAAAAAACAAACACAGAAAATAAAAAGATAGTAAATTCCCCTGGTCCAATACTAAAATCCAAATTCCAAACAATAAAGAACAGCCGTGCTTGTCATTTCAGACAATTGATTCAAAGAACAAAACTGTGTATAACTGCAAACATCAGCATGTAAAAGAAAAACTGCAGAATATGACATCAAGATTCCACAGGAAAAGAAGCATTAGAATCTTTAGAATAATCTTTCGAATAATTCATGAGAAATGCAAAGCCCAAATGACTTACCTGTATATAGTGCTTTTAATAGTGAAGAGCTTCACACATTGTAAGACCATAAGCCAACTTAAGTAAAATCAGTTAAAGTGTCATATCACCTACAGTAATTTATCCACTAGCTTGTTCTAAAAAGAAAGAACTATTATCATTATGTTCATTAATAAATGCATACCTGAAAAAGGAAATACTGGCAGTGGTCATTACTGAGTGCTTGAGAAGATTTAATAATCTGATGTAGATCTGTATCCATGAGTTCATAAACCAGGTACACATCCTTGAAACTCTTCCTATGGATAGGCATCATAACATCTTTCAAAGCGATCACATTTTCGTGTCGAAGATGCCGGAGAAGCTTCAGTTCTCGCAGAGTTCTAAGAGCGTCGATGCGGTTCTCAAAGACATTGTGTATCTTCTTAATTGCTACTTTCTCATTGGTTTCCCTGTTCACAGACGAGCAGACGATTCCATACGCCCCTCGACCGATCGGCTTAATGGGAACATACTTTGTATCAATCTCAAACAAGGTCTGCCACATGGAATAGTAATGTTTTCCTGGGGTTATAATCCCATTTGGAGGCTCTACAGGAGTCGCCATTCCTAAAGAAGAAAAAAAATCAGACTTATCAAATCCTTCTCACTCAAAATCCTTATCAACCATTAAAATTTCTATATCTTAATAACTATCAAGTGTCAGCTTTTTCAGTTTTAATTAAACAAAAAGAAAAGGATCAGCTCTTGTAATAAAGAGAAATTCTGGATCTACAGCGAAAACCCCACAGATAACGGGCATATTTTCAATAATTTCTATGTTTTATTCTTTTTTCAACAAGAAACGGCAAAAGGAAAGTACTCGAATATGATCCAACAAGGTAAAGATAGTACCCTACACAAAGCGATTACTATCAATCCAAAAAAAAAAAAAAAAGGAAAAAGTTACCTTTAAAGGAAAATTCACTTTCTCGTTTCCGATCCTCTGAAATTCCAGTTGACAAGCAAAAACTTTTCCGTCACTTTCCCGCGAAATCACTTCTCAGAAACCTTCAAGCTTGAAAAAAAGTATATATATATATATATATATATATATGTAAATACGTTTATATGATCTCTTCTGCTATCCCACATCCAAATTCATCAGAATTCCCGTTCCATTTCAGAGCAATTATCAGAGAAGTTTGAGATTCCTCCAATTCAGCTTAAACAAATCCATCCAATCCACAACAGCCACTCAGAGAACAAAAACCTTCTAGAAGCGCTTCGTGGAAGCTTTCGCAAGCCCTAGAGTTTTTTTCTCAGGCTAAGTGAGCGGAATTTCGCGCCAGAACAGGACTAATCCTTCCCTAATTATTGGGAAGCTCTCGAAGGTTTTGAATTCCAAATTTGATCCGTTTTGAAACAGCGGTGATTTGACGACAAGAACTGTGTAGAACCAAGATCCGTTATCTTGACGCGATCAGACAGGCCCATGCCAGTGAGCTAGCGAGCCTAGAGTGTGACCAACACATTCGATTTTTCTTTTATTTTATTTTACTTCTTTAATTATTTGTTGTTACATGTTTTCAGTAGAAGGCGGGGCCCACAAATTTTACATCCCTTTTCGGGAAAGAGGAAACTGCGTTCAAAACGACGTAGCTTTACCACCGAGGCGAATGAGAAAGTGGGTGTGGGGGTGAGAGCTGGAATTAAGAAAATATTGGGTCGGGCCTTATCCGGATAAACATTGGCATATTCTTCCACGGTTCTCTCTTTCTGCTTCTCTCACTCTTTGACAAAAGATTCTAGTGTAGATGGGGTTGTCTATTAACCTCGTTCAGTTTATCGATTTGAATTTTTAATTTGAGTTAAAATATAATTTTATATAAAAATTTTTAATTATAATAAAAAAATTAAATATAACTTTTTATGAGAGTTTTTACTGTAATAAAATTAAAATTAAAAACTTAAATGATGAAATCAACGAGGCCTAAGTAATCTTACTCGCTTAGTCATCACTTGATCACGTGGGCTTAATGGCAGTGATGGAGTTAGGAATTTTGATAAGAGGGCTAAATTTTTTTATTAAAATTATATTAATGTTTATGTTCTTAATAAAATTGAATATTTTATTTTTTTAAATCTAAATAATTAGTTTAATAAAATGTAAAGAACGGAAAGTTAAGTCTAATTTATACACATATTTATTATATTAAAATTAAAACTTATATATTAATAAAGAGAAAAAAAAAAACATGGCCCCCTCAGTCCCCCAGCTCTGTCATTGCTTAATGGCATCATGATCCACGTCTTGTTTTCTAATTTTGTCTTTCCATTTTTTTTTTCCTTGAGCACCAAATCATAAGTTTTAATAGGACTAATGATTTCGACAATGGGATTCAAATTAAACTGTCTATTTTTTGGACGAGTTTTTTAAACTATTTATTTTTGAATGAGTTTTTAATGGTTATATTTTTATCTCGATTATCATTAAATATAAAAATTTGATGACGTGCGTGATAAAATCTAATCTCATTAATTTTTATAATTTTTTAACCAATTATGCAATTTATTTTTCTGATCAACTGTCAAATTTATGTTTTACGGTTAAAACAGTAATACATAAGTACACCCCTATTTTTTTAACTTAATTAAACTATCTATATTATAATGAGTTGAGAAAAAAAATAGTATTGAATTAAATTTATAATTTTTTAATAGTTATGAAATTTCATATCATGTTTTCAGGGCGAAATTGCTAACTTGTAGGAAAAAAAAAAAAAAAAAAAAAGCCTTAAATTAGATTTAGAGGTGTAAAAGTTCGAGCTACCTAATTCAAGTTTAATAGACCAAATGATGAAAGCGGGTTAGGTCCATCGACAAAAGAAAGTGGATTGGGTCGAGCCAATCTTTGTAAGAATATTACAAGTCCTAATACGGTAAGGGTAAATTTGATAAATACCACTTCTATGGTGTTGCTATTCAAGATACTATTTCTATGAGAAAGTTTGAAACGTACCATTTTCAAATATTATATAAAATTAACTGCAAATCACATATAGTTAATCACTGATAAACTCACGTTAATCACCGATAAATTTGAGTTAATCACTTATGAACTTCGATTTATCAAATTTATCTTTTTCTGCATTTATAGATGATATGTTAAAGTTAATCATTTTTTTTTTTTGGAACATTCAATGAGCAACACTGAGGAGGAATAATGATTTTCCAAGAACTGGAAACAAAAGCTTCTTAAAAAAGTTCCATTAATGACTGAAAATAAATAGATTTCCATCCCAAGACAAGACTGCTCGCAACGATCTCCACCGCAACAAGATCTCCACGACAGCTAGTAGTTGCAAAGCCTTTGTTCTCAGGAGATATGCAGTTCTGAACAGACCAACGGCTCGACGATGATGAACAATTTAATGCCCTACGTCATCGTCAGTTTGTAATTCCGTTGGAGAAGAAGTTGTCATCGCAGCTTGCCATCCGGAGAACGGCGTCGCAAGATGTCGTCGTTTGCTGGTAGCAGTGGAGATTTCACCAACATTTGAGTGACTCTGTTCTCTTCATAAGATCCAACGAAGATCTCCACAGAAATTCATTCGGCTGATCTGGCCGTCAGTCAACAAAGTGACATCAGGGATCTCTCGCCGATCTTGCTCACATCACCTTCAAGAAGATGGAAGGTATGGTCTAGATTCACAAATGATTGAATAAAAGGGTAAAATTGTCTTTCGCCTAAATGAAGAATTTATGAGGTAAATTCATCATTTACAAGTAATGGCAATAGTTTAGTTTATTTGGTAAATAATGAATTTACTAGATAGCATTTATTTACCAATTAAAAGTGTGGTAAATAATAAATTTATTTCGGTGAACTCTTTATTTACAAGCTAAAAAAAACAAAATGCGTTTTTTCATTAAAAAAAAAAGATATACAATTTAATATTGGTAAATTTTTTATTTACTAGCCAATATTTATGCGATAAATGACGTATTTACTCTGTAAATGCATCATTTACCGGCCAATGGGTATTCCAATTTATCCTTATTTTTCATGTGCTAATTGTTTATCTACATGGTAAATCTTTCATTTACCAACAACTCAATTCCTATATTTTTTTGCAAATAATAGACTTACCAAAGTAATGTTTGGCTGGTAAATCCATGAATTACCATGAAAATGCTCCATTTACCATACTAAACAAAATCTGTTGATTGATAAATGAAGCATTTACCAACATCAGCGAGAGAGAAAAACCAGATTCTCTCGGTCAACCTCCCATTTCTCTCTCTCCTCTCTCTACCTCTATGTAGATCTTGGTTAGTGTTGAAACTTTGGACGGGCCGCCCGCGACCACCAAAAATTCTGAATTTTTACCCGATGATCGAGCTCGCCCTGCCTGAATTTTTGGGCTGCCCGACCCAATCTGAAAAATTACATAGACGGGCTTCGGACAACCTTTGGCTGCCCGTGCCCAGTCGGGCTGCTCGAGCCCGACCGAGTTGCCTGAATTTTTAAATATTTTTTATAATTACAATTTGAAATTTGAAATGAACACATGAAGTATATAAAAAAATTATTTATTTATTAATATTTAAATTTGTAATTCATGATTGCCTCATTTAAAACCTTATTAAGAAAAATCCAATTAGGATAAAACTTAGTAAGGAAAAAGGAGTGCAATCATTGTGGGATGAAATACAAATTTGACGAACTTACAAAGTGATAAGTGTATGAAAATGTACTTAAATTGTTCATAATTGTTAAATAAATTGGGTTTTAATTAAATATTTTCGTGGAATTAATTTTGTGTGAAAGTATTTGATTTTAATTTAATTTAATTTATTTTGTAGGGA